CTTTGGGTTGTTTCGAAATGTCGAAAGGCTAAGTAATAAATTATTACATATTGATTATGCTGCCGCCCTACTAAAGTATTATAATTTTCTTGTCTTGGTTTCTCAGTTGAGTCATCGCCATGAACTGGAGACATCTTACACTAGACATATTAAATGGTTTTTATTATATTGTTCATAAGGGTAACCATCGAGGCTCAATGTTTGGGTGATTTGAACACTAATTGCTAAAGATCTTCTCACTAATGAGTATGGAATAACCACAAGAGCTTGACTCATGTCAAGCTAGGAGGCATGGGCTTTCTTGATGCTTGAGTATTACATGTCAGTTATTATGCTTTTAACAAGCATACGTCATTCATTATTGTCGGTCATTTAGAAAATTTTTATCAATTGGACATCACTCATAATTATCAGTTTTGTCTCTTGAATGGAACTACTATCAATGGGTTAGTTCAAGTTCCCTAAGTATCAGTCACATTTTGATGATTCCTTGAGTGAGCTTCTTGAGTATCCTGAATGTTAGTTGGATTAAGATACAAAAAAATTATTTTAAGGGTAAAATTCATTCAAGTCATCTCCACTCCATGTTCAAAAAATTCATATCCTTATATATATTTTCAAGTTGTATGGTCCATGGGCAACCTATTTGTCTTTGATGAATGGTTAGATCCATATTTTTTTTAGCTTTCTCACAGCTTGTTCTAGTGCAGTTGGATTGCCTTTTATCGACACAAGTTCTCTAGTAGCGTAAGTAATCTCTCATATGTGTTTGTTGTAGTACTGAGTCATTCATGTCTTCACGTCCTCCTGTCGAAGGGCTGAGTCAGCTTGTTTCTCCTTAATAAGATTGAGCACTATCATTATCACCTCATCATTTATTTCTTACCCCACAACTAAGTTAGCTTTATCAAACACCAAAGTTATCACTAATCTTTGGTTATGATGGTTATATTCAGCTGGCCATATTGCATGTGTCCTATGTGACAACATGAATAAAGTTTACTAAGTCGCTATGGAAGGTGTCATTCATAATGCCCAAATAATAGATAGAAGAGTCTTGACCCAATTTTCTTAAGCTCTATTCATTTTTTCCTCAGCAAATTAAGGATGATTTTTTTGGTTGCTTCAGCTTATTCACGTGGTTGAGGGTGATAATGAATGCAAAATTTAGACTAATCCTCTAGCTTTGAAAAATATCTTTCACCCTTGGTTGGAAAATTATTTATTGTTACTTGTGATGATTTTAAGTTGTTGCCCATATAGATAGCAGAGATCCATCCATATGAAGGTCCAAATAACCTCTGTGGTGTTCCAAGTGAGACTCTTAGCTTTAATCCACATATAATAATAATCCAAAAAAAAAAATTGTTTTGGCCTCATGATGGGGGAATGAGTTTGGGGATGTTGAGTCCCCAATTGGGAAAAGTCCATGACTTGAAAATAGATTGTAGTTTATGACCGAGTTGGTATTTGAATGGTCATTTTTGACATTTCTTGCATATCCTTAAAAATCCCTTGACATCTTATTGAAGCGTCTGACATAAATAGTTGTCGTTCCACTTGATGTGCTAAAGTTTTTCCTCTCATGTATTTCTTGCACTCCCTTGAGTGTACCTCTTAGAGGACATCCTCTGCCCCATTTTTATATGAACCTCAAGTACAATGATGTGATTGATCTCCAAAAAAGCTTTTACTTGATTATAGAATATTGGGTTGCCTTGATTTTTAAGCACTTTAGGTTGGTAACCTCTTCAGATACATTAGCTTGCTCTGTAGATATAGGTTATAAAGATCCACCAAAATTTTTAGTGTGTAAGTTTCTAACTCCATCACTTCAACTTCCTCAATGGTTGGTCTTTGAACATTTTGTGGCATCTCCTCCCCCGAGTGGATGCAGTTGGATATGAAGTTTTTCACTTAGTTGTTAGCATGGGAGATATGTGTGGCCTAAAGTCTGCAAATCTCCATATTTCTATTTTTATTTTCTAAGTTATTTGCCCATTGTCACATCTCTACTCTTGAATTGCCCTCTCACCTAATTCACTACCAAATACAAGTCAATTTCACTAGAAGGTTTCAAACACCCATCTCATAAGCAAACTATAGCCTGATAATTAGAGCTTTGTATTCAATTTAATTGTTGGTGACTTTGAATCCAACTTGGATTGAGTGGTATATATGATCTTGGGTTGGACAAGTCATTGTGAGACTAATCCTTAACCTAGTTTGACTAGATGCCACATACTTTGCAGGATCCCAATGTGGTTGTCTATTGCCATTTCATTCCTTGGCTTTCTTGATAAAAAATAAACTAAAAAAAGCAACTATGGCTTGTAGTTTGATTGTAGACACGAAAGGACGATCTAAATCTCTAAGTTTCATCACCTATTTCAGGAGCTGATCAAAGTGCTCTGGCCTAGTGAGGACAGATTTGAGTGGGCAGTCATTGATGATCCTGACTGGATGCATTTGGAAATACATGTGAAGCCAGTGTGAGGAAACAGTCAGAGCAAATGTTAGTATTTTTATAGTCAATTATTTGAACTTGGTTCCTAGAAGGACTTGGCTGACATAGTGATACACCAAAATAATATGTAGTTTTTAGTACATATTTTATGCTTATTTTTGGTGATATTAAACTTTAAAGAAGGTCATTTTCATGTTTTTGTTTCATGTATATCAATTTTAGGCATTTGGAGCAAAAGTAGCAAAAAGGTGGAGCTAAAATAGTGAATTTTTGAATTCTAGCACATGATGCGCCAGATTGGCGCATGATGCTCCGGATTGGCGCCAGATGCACCAAAACCTAGAACAACACAGTCTTCAGCAAACTGACGCATGATGCCATAGATTGGTGCGAGATGCGCCATTTGACAGAGAGTTGGTGCATGACACGTCAGATGCGCCAGGGATGACATTTTGAGATTAAAGGTGATTTGAGACAAATTTTGCACAAATTTTCAAAGGGACACTTGTTCTAAATACCCCATGGAGTAATTCAATGCATCTGGACACTTTGGAAGGCTTTTTATGAAGGGATATGTCTCTTGGATCATTGAACATGTCTTTTGAATTCAAAAGAGTTGACTTTTGGATAGAATTTTGGAGGGAATTTTGAATTCATTTTGGAGGGAGATAGCCTTTGATAAAAGAGAAGAGTTTTGGGTGTGAAGTGTGTGTGGCGTGAAGGTAAGAAGGAGAGTTAGAGAGAGAGAGAGAAAGTCAAGGTCTTGGAGATTTTCTTTAAGGATTGTAAGAGGAGAGGAAATGTGAGAAATTTCTTTTTCATTACACTTCTAATAAAGAATTGAGAGTGCTTATAAATGTCGACGCTATTTTTTGTTGCAATTGCTCGTAAGAAGCTTTCGGTCACCAGAATTGAAATCCCGTCGCCTGCTTCGGAAGGACGTTTTAATTTACATATATATCAAGTTTTAGAAAAATATGAAATCAAACTGACCCTATATTTTTCATAGTTTAAATGAAAGAGCGTTGTACCTCAAATCCTATATCTATCCCGAAGGATAAGCACAAGACTTGAGGATGAGACTCAATCAAATAAACTAAGAAATATATGACATTCGTTTGATCTGCAAAACCTTTATATTTGCCGACAAGTTCCCTTATTTAAAACAAAGAATTAAATAGGGTTTATATTAAGCTGGGTTCCGACATGCTTCCTATAAGGGCAAGCCCCTATAGTTAATTATATATTAAATGATCAAAGTCACCTAAGATAACTCTCGATAAAAATTAGGAAATATTATCTTCAAGGAGTTTCAAATGATAAGAATTTTCAATGAGATCGGACGTAGAGGTGTGAAAGGAGATTGGTCCAAAT